AACGATTAGGGATGGAGAATGGTCGCTGGGATTGTTGTAATGTGGATTGTCTGTTTGTGTTGAAAGCTGAAAATCGGTTGGACGATCCACCAATTGATACACTGGCGCATCACCCGTGGATGGAACTGTTTCCTCAACAGTACGGTTCGCAGCGCATGGAGGTGGCGGTGGAGCGCGTCGTTTAGAACGAGTTCGTACGGGACCAACTGCTGGTACGACGGTGACTTCGGATGGGTCTGACGGACGAGGTTGCTGGAGAGGGAGAACCCAACAGAATCGAAAGACATTGATGATTACACTGATGCAAACAGAGAATCAGTAGTACGAACGAATCACCAGGCAGATTAACAGTAAGTTTAGTATCACATATTGCACACCGAGTTATTCACATTAAAGTTATGTTTGCAATTTTGCATGTGTCTCGTGGTGACACTTCATGCGAATTTTGAGAAGTGGATTAAGTAAAATTGAGATAGTACCAAAATGCTTGAATGCTGCTGGAATGGGCATCAGGAAACGTTTAAAACACCGGATGTGATGCTTATCATACCATAGCGGGAGACAGCACAAAAGAGCGAAAAAAGCGGTTTGAATCGAGGTTAAGATAAAAGCGGCCACTAGCGAGCACAGACGTGATTTGGCAAGGCCGACTTGATATTCTCTGTGCGTCCCCGAGAACGCAGGGCATACCATACGTTTCCGGTTGTCCATTAGAACGCCCACCTTGGATTCGTTAGTTGCGGGGTGGTCACAAGTGACAATCCTAATGGGTTCACGCGGTTTAGCCACATCCTGTTCCTGGATTTCCACACTGAAAATAAGAGAGTCGACAGCAACAAGGATGCGATAGACAATGGAAAAGATTGGTGGCAGCATGATAAAGCAAAAAGGTATTTCCATAACCAATGAGCGTCCTAATGCGACCTTATGGGGTTCACCACTGGACTTAGTAAGACTGAGTGGGGGGTACACGTGACTACGGTGTTTAGCCCTTCATCATACAACGGGGAAGCCGGCACTAAAAATCTGTTGGCGCACACCATTTACTGATAATTTCCACCTCAATTGTTATCGGTGCAGAAATGTCAGAACGGGGGCGATAGGGCTCACAGGCGTTGTTTTGAGGAATGGAGAACATTCAAATTCCAACAGGTTTACCTTATTCAAAATGCCCTAATAATATCCTCTCCATACAATTTCAAGAGAACAAAAACGCCAAGACTCTTGACCAAGAATGAGGTCGTTTTTACCGAGCGTCAATGTAGTATCTGGCATACTGGACGTGAGTCGTTCCAAAAAGGCGCACGCGTGTGTATATGTGTGTAACGAATCAAAACTGCATGCAGTAAACAAAATACGCTTTTTATTCCCAATCCAAAATCGATTGTTTTTGTTCCGCTACCTTATTGTTTCTTCCAATGGACAGAAGACACTGCAACGGATTTGGACGAGTGAAGTAAAGCTACTTGAAACCAACTAAATGATCAGTCATCTCAAGAACGAATCTCAATGGGAGTAATATTTATCGTTAAAATTTCTGCATTAACAAAACGATAAGAGAGAATCAGTATATAATGCGAAATACACAAGACCATCAACGTCTTGTGACCGTTGTGGACCATAAAACTGGCGACTTTCGTTACACAAAGCTGAGTCGATGACAGACCCTGGAATCATCCGATGCAGCAATCGTTCTTAACCGAGTAAAATGGAGGCAGATTGGATTCTATCCCACTGGACTTTATCAAAAAGTATGAGTGAAAATATACCTCTAGGTACTTGTGGTTAAAGAGAGGAATGACGGTAAACAAACATCTGAAGCTCGATAAATAACCAATGTAGATGAGTTGTAGTCAACAGAATGTACAACAAACTATATCTGAATTTAGCAACTGTCAAGTCTCCACAAACCTAGGACTATGTCAACGCATCAAGTGTATACACAAGATTTATAAAGAGAAATCGCGGTAAACTGTGGAACTTTGTTGTTGTTCTAATACTGCTATTTCAACCAGGCGATAGAGGAAGAGAGCATTTAAGTCGTTGAAAGTCGATGTATTTGAATGATTAAAACACAGAATCTGCCATGAGGAGCGAAAGAGCTATCTTTTTGGGATACTCCCGTGCGTTATGGCGTATCAGTAGGAGAGCGAAGCAGGGGAGGGAGTGAATACCGTTGTGCTACAATCCACCATTTAGGTATGCGCGTGCATGTCAAGGGCACGCATGAAACCGGAAACATGGTCCGAACAGGTCGATAAGACTCCTGAGGTTCCGCCACTGTGGTGCTACACAAAACCGAAGCCGTATGTACCATGAAAAGGAACAGGCAACGCATCGCACAGACATAAACCGATTGACAGACAGACGAAGGTGGTAGGCCACATGTTAGTCG